CTCTGCTCACAGGTAGCCCTGACCATGCACAGCAGCCTGCCCTCTGCTCACAGGTGACCCTGACCATGCACAGTAACCCACCCCTCTGCACACGGGTAACACTAACCACGGAAGCAGGCCTGCATTGTCTGTGGCGGATGGTGATTCTGTACTGGTTTATCTAGCACACGGTCCCTGGGTCGCCCGAGGACTCGGGGTATCTAGGACCTCGCTTGACTTTCTGGTCCTCCCCATCAAATGAGAACACGTGCCCTGCCGTTACTTGTTACGACTGTTACCACGTTTAACGTACTGTCAGGTAAGATGATAATTTGGCACCTGAATTAAAAATATAGGGATCGAACAAGATCCTTAGTATTGCCATCTCCTTGAAAATTCTCTTGTGACATTTCAGTACTGACATATAATACATCCTGACCAGTCTGAGTTCTTACTGCTGCCATTTCCTTGTTGCCTCGCGCTTGGAGCTTCTTGTCGCCTCTCTCCCAGTTACCCATAGGTTGTTGTGAACTGTAGTCATATTACACTGTGCCTGTCTGGAGCCTCTCTTCAGTCTGGCTTTCCTCTCCCCATGCCTAGCCTCTGGAGTAACTATTCTGTGTTTGGACCCTTCCCTTCTTGCTTTTCTCGTGTGGTGTTTCTCTTTCTGTGTGTGGCCTATTTCACTTAGCATAATGTACTCCAGTTCTATTCACTTTGCCTCAGATGGCAGAGCTCCATAGTCTGTGTCACTGGGTATATAGCTTTCTACTGTGTGTATACCATATTCTCATCATCCATTCTGTCTGCTGCTGGGCACCTAGGTTAGGTCTGTGTCTTGGCACTTGTGAAAAGGGCTGAAATCAGCACAGGTCTGTCTGACATGACAAGTTTATTTCCCTTACATATATATGCAGGGTAGAGTGGTTAGATCATATAGTACCCGTGTTTTGGGTTTTCTGGGGAGCCTCCACACTATTCTATGTGGTGGCTGTGTTAATAATCTACAGTCCCCATCAGCACCAAGTGATAATTTGCCTTTTTCCATGTTTTTACCTGTATTTGTCATTTTATTTTTTTGATGACAGCCATTTTCACTGGTGTGAGGTGACGTGTGATTTGATGTTCCTTTTCCACAGTGATTAGTGATGTGGTATTGTCTTTCTGGATTTATTGGCCACCTGTGTATCTTACTCCTAGAAATGTCTGCTCATATTATTTGCCCATTTTTGACTCGCCACTGGCTGCTTCCCTTCACACCTGCTCCCTGCATCCTCCGCTTTACCCCTGCCCCCATCCCCATAGAATGTCTGGGCCTGGGAAGCCCTGTGCCCCTGACACCCCTCAGCCAGCATCAGAGCTAGTTCAGCTTCCAGACTCAGGGAGGGTCATGTTGGAGTCCACACTCCCGTCCAGAGCATTGCAGGTGTCCTTGCTGTTGACTTAGCCACACAGCTCCTTCCTTGTGTGTCCCATGAAATTCCATTCAGCTTACAGCCTGAATGTTCTAGCTAGTTCTAGGGATTTCCATAGAAACAGGGGAGGGGGAGGGGACAGTGTCCATGAGAAAGCCGGGAGAGATGTGGAGCAATTGTCTGCCAGCCGGCAATAGAGAGTCAGCCCACAAATCTGAAATAGTTGGAATTTGTCACCAGGTGGCTGGAAACCAGCTCTAACAGAATTTCTGATGGTGTACTTTTGACTTGGTGAAGTTGGGGCTAGAAAGCAGGAACGGTTCTTTCCTACACAAAAGTGGGATTTGAGAGCCGCTCTGCTCTGAGGTCTCTGCATTTTTTAGTTTTTACCCTCAGCAGAGGTGCTGTGGCTTGGTGCCTGGCATTGGGACCTGCCATGGTGGCTTCCTGTTCTTTTCATATGCCCCCAGTGTCTGGCATTAAGGCTGTGGCACTTTGTACATTTTCCTCTTCTGAATAGAGGTGGACACATCCATTGTGTCTCAATATAAAGGTCTTTAAATTGCTGAGGAGAAAGTAGCCTCCCTTCCCACTCTAGCTTCACATCGGTGATGGTGTATGGGTGTGTATGCACACACACTTAGTTTTTCTGTATTTTTTAAAATTCTGTTTTAAGCTAAGGACCTGGCTCACTGTGCTGTGCACAGTGTGGTGACAATATGGACCCATTGTCTCTTCTGTGAGACACAGGGAAGAGGGGTGGGACACAGTTGGCCATTGTCTGTGTCCTCATGTTTCTTTTCTTCTGAGGAGGGTCTGTGAGGTGAAAGCACATTCACCTTGGATCTTCTAGTTTTCTGTCCAACCTTCCATCATCTTGGGGTCTCTCTGCTCAGGACTCACTCTATCATGATCACCCATCACTCGTTTTCCTTGAAGGGAAATGGAGACTCGAGGAAAAGCCTGGATATGGCTTCGGGCTTGAAGGAATCCAAGAAAGGCTGGTTTAAGTAGAGAAGCATTCTCTGATGAAACATGTGGCTCACTTACAGGGTGAGTGGGAAGGAGAAATGTCTTCTTTCCAAATCCAGACACAAATGGCACATTCTCAACACACTCCATTTAGAAACACTTGCCAGGAAATTGGTGTCCCTTCTAGTTTGTTTCCACCCTGATCTCAGAGAAGGGAAGTGAGGAACTTGGTGCAGAGGCTCTAGGCAGCCTGGCACAGAGCTGCCTCTCTGTGCACACTTCTGCTCTGTGACATTTGTCGTGTATGGTGTCCTAAGGTGTAAATGACCAGAGTGGACATTCGTCCTCCAAACCAAGGAGTTTCTCATAAAAGGATTCATCAACTGAACACCAGTACAAATAAAACTGTGCTACTTTGGGGCTAAAACTGGATAGGGGTTATGGTAAGACAGAAGTATAGTGGTGGAGAGCAGAGCCAAGGAGGGGATGTGGCTCTTGGGGGCGTGTGAAGGACCTTCATGGGTGATGGGGGCTATTTTGTGAGCCTTGGACCTACCCCTGGCCTGTGAGCTTACTGCAGAAGCCAACATTTATTAATAATGGCAAAGCTAATGTAAACTGAATGTTGCTAGCTCAAGAAAGTTAATGTAGCATTTGTAATATAGCTACCAGCTACCAGGGTTCATAGTTTATTCTCAAAAGTTTATATAGTGAAAGCAATGGATGTGTTACCAGATAAAAATATTTTGGTTTGTAATCATAATATAAAGAAAAATATAGTCAGTGTGTATATAGATACACCTAAAACATTTACTGCACCAGTTAAATGCATTAGTGATAAATCCAAAGCCACCAGCATTTATCAGTGTTGCACAGAGGAAGAACATCAAAGCCCTTTCTTCTGGAGTCATTTAACCAAGAGTGAGCCCAAGTTTGTGAGGTGAAAGCACATTCACCTTGGATCTTCTAGTTTTCTGTCCAACCTGTTTCTCTCCCTATGTCTTCCTCTCCATCCTATAGATAGTCTTAGGTCTATCTATAATCTGTTTGTGTATGAATCTGCATTTGTGCCTGCCTGAATGGTGTTTGGTGTTGTCTGTCCCTGTCTCTCCATCTGTCCCTCACAGAGGGCTTTTGCCTTTTGTTGAACAGCATAGAAAGCATCACATGGGAAAGGAATGAGGGATGATTTACAGGAATTCTTAACAGCATTTTACAAGGGGTGAAACCTTGCCACTACACATGGACCCTCTTGACCTCGATAACAAACAAACAAATGCTATCAAGCAGTATCTGTGTGCTGCTTCCGGCATCTGTGGTGGAAGTTATTGCATAAGGTTGCTTTCAACCTATTTGCTGGTTCCAGCACTTATTGCCATAACATGCCGACACATGTGCATTGCCCTCTGGGCCAGGAGCATGGAAGAGTGCATACCGTAAGATGAAAGCTGTGTATTAACCTGGGTTGTAAAAGTTGGTCACGCGGGAAACGCATAGCAAGTAAGGCTGATTGTTATGTTATTCTCTTAAAAGCGAGTTAGTCAAGCAGGCTGAGTACACACAGCATATCCGTCTTGAGTCTTAAGTGACCTCAAGATGTCTTATTAACTAAGCTGTGAGGTCCGGCAAGGTCCCAGTGTCAGAACACAAGAGATGTTTTCATACTAATGCATCAGCACAGTTTACTCCTGGTGAGGTGAAGCTGAGAGGCACTTAACTGAGGTGTGCAGGAAAGGCAATAAAATCAGATCCCGATTCCGAGTAAGCACTCACTCGTGATGGTGTCTTTGACACAGATGGAGTGTGTCACCCTCGGGGAGACTGTGTGTTTGAGATACACATATTTAGGAAGTCTTTATCATGGGAGTAGATAGCTGTGTCTCCAGCTTTGACACAGTGACATATTGGGCAAAGTGAATGGTGGGACAAGCTGTGATTCTCGGGACAGAGTGTAAAGTAGACTTGGAGAATTCAGGATTACCAAGAGACTGAAGAGGCTGGCAGCAGAGCCTGAAGCCCAGCTGGCCTCTGCTTACCCTGGGATCCTTGAGGCAGAGCTATGGCCAGGCAGCCACCCTGCTGAGAATGAGGCACCAAGGCCCCCATGCTCTGTTCAGCGCAGTTGAGGCTGTGCAGCCTGGCTGTGAACTCTGGTTCTTGTCCTGGCTGGCCCTGTGATGACCAATGCATACGGGAAGTGGGAAAGGTCAGGATGAAGAGCGTGCTGAGTTACAGCGCAGGCTGCCAGTGTAGCTCTGAGTTCAGATCCCTCCAGCCTCTGGGTGACCCTGGGTTGTTTCCAAGTCCGCTTGCAGGCTGAGGGTCTGCTCTCAGCACTCATGTACCTGTGCCGTCTGAAGGTACGGTGTTGGCACTCACCTCCTGAGCCCCTCAAGCCTTCTGTAAGTGGTGGAGCCGGCCTGGTTACTGGGGGCTAACTGGTAAGAACTGACTGTGGACACACAGACTGCAGGGGCTCATCGCCTCCTGACCCAGGTTTGCCGTTTCTAGTCCTTTCTAAATGTTTTAACTTTGGGAGAATTCTTAGGGTTCTCTGTGCTGTTAGATTCCCCCCAGGAGTTAGAAATTTGACTCAGGTTAAATTTCACATCCGGGTATTTCTTACTAATAATGTTTATGTTTAAAACAAAGGGGCCTTGGGATGTACTTCACTTGATAGAGTGCTTTCCTAGCATGTATCGAACCCTGAGTTTGGTTCCCAGAACTGCATAATAGCATATGGTGGGACATGCTTATGATTTTGCAATCCCGAGGTAGAGGCAAGAGGGTCATGAGTTCAAGCTCATCCCCAGCTACTTAGGAGTTTAAAGAAAGCCTGAAATGCATGGAATTCTCTCATCCACTTTGTCCATACCCCTTCCTTTTGTCTGTCTGTCTAACTCTCTCAGTTATAAAACATCCATGAAATTGTGAGACAATCTATAAGATAATTTAGTAGTGTCCTTCAAAAGGGTCAAATTCTTGAAAGACAGACGGTGACACTGCTCCAGTCTGTGGGCTCTCATGGAGTACAGGGACATGGGCTGGACCAGGACAACACCAATGAGCAGAAACTGGTAACGTTTGGGTATGACGGGGCCACTGAGGTCCGTGTCACCCTGAGCATCATAATACACGGTTCCATGAGACAAGACACCAACATCTTAGAAGGCAGATGGGGGGAGGGGCATCATTCTATACATGGAAAATTATTTCAAAATAGCAATTATCAAAGGAATAACTAACTCCTAAATGCTAGAAGCTAATTTTTGTAAAAAATTTGTAGATCCTCCCCAACTTAAAAAAAAACAAAATCAAAACTAAAATTTATTTTGGCTCCTCCCCAAGCAGGGGGTAAGTGGTTCTTGTTTTTCCTTCTCATTTTCAGACAAAGTTTACATGGGGCCAGGGCAGCTGTACCAGGATCTGCAGAACCTCCTCCATGACCTGAATGTTGTTGGCCAGATCTCGCAGCTGATTGGAAACCTCCGAGGGAGCTATCAGGTAACGGCCTCCTGGGCAGGACGCTGCTGTGGCTGCCAGGTCTGTGAGCGTGGGTTTGTCTCCAGAACGGAGCACTTGGGCATCTCCAGGACCAGCCCCTGCGCTGCTTCTCTGCCGTTTGGGGCAGTGTAGCCTTCCTACCTCAGTGTACTTCCACCTCAGTTATGTCTCTGTGTGATCAACCAAAGGGGATTTTGTAATCGGACATGAGTGCAGTCAGGTCTTCCTAGGGTTTTCATGTTAGAGAGCCTTGCTTTTTCTTTTCTCCTCCTATAAATGTGGGTGTGAGAGAAGTGTGCTGGCTGATGTCTGCAATCACAGCCCTTGGCAGCACAAGGCAGGAGGATTGCCTGGGCTTCATAGTGAGTCCCAGGATAACCTAGGCTAGAGCGAGACCTTGTCACAGGACAAAGCAAAAAGCGACAAAGCCTAACAAATATGTCACTCATTTCCTCTGTAGAATTTAAACCAGTCGGTAGCCCACGATTGGACATCAGGTTTACAGCGACTGATCCTGAGGAAAGAAGAGGAAATCAGAGCTGCTGACCGCTGCAGAATTCAGTTGCAGCTCCCGGGAAAGCAGGACAAGTCAGTGATTTTTAAAACAAAGACATAACGGTTCCTCACCGTACATGTTTTCTGGCTTTGGTGATTGCATTACATGGTAGTCTGGGCAGGCCAGTTGTATGTGGTAGAGTGTGGTCTGTAAAGGGAATGCCTCTCTTCTCTGGCAGGTCAGGGCGGCCCACTTTCTTTACTGCCGTGTTCAATACGTTCACACCGGCCATCAAGGAGTCCTGGGTCAGCAGCCTGCAGATGGCCAAGCTGGCACTTGGTAAGACACAGGGGAAAAGCTAACTGGGCATGCTCCAATAAGAAAGGGATGTTGTAGAGCCACCAGAGAGGTCGTGTGGTGATGCATACACCTGGGAGGGTAAAACCAGGGAGCGAGAAAACTCCCCATGGCCTGGAAGCCTAGCTTTACATGGAAAAATTAAGTGAAACAGTCTGTGTTGTAACTCAGGGGCTGCAGGAACACAGCAACGGCTTCTGTTATGATAAGACACTCTTATACATGTGACTGTTGAGCACAAGGGCTGGCCCCTGAGGCTGTAGCCTCGTCCAGATCCTGGAGCTCTGGCATGGGTCAGGAGCAGAAAGGACATAACATCTCAGCCTCTGTGCTGATCCATCCTGTGACGGGGAGTGCAGTGAGTCAGAACTGTGTCAGTCAAGAACCCCAGCTCTGAAAATAAGTCCAGTGGTTTTCATGAGGCAACACGTGGCTTTATAGCTGTTTTCTGGTTCATCTATTCTGCTTAGGATAGATAGATGGATGGATGGATGGATGGATGGATGGATGGATGGATGGATGATGGATGGATGGATAGATAAATAGATGATGGATAGATAGATAGATAGATAGATAGATAGATAGATAGATAGATTATAGTAGGTAAATGAAAAATAGTAAGTAGGTTGGTAAATACATAATAGGAAGGTAGATAGATGATAGGTAGATGGTATATGATAGGTCGGTAGATTGATAGATGGTAGGTAATTAGGAGATTGATCAAGTAGATGGGTATATAGACTGAAGGATGGCAGGCAGGCAGGTAGGTAGATCCATGTCTGTGTAGTTTATGTAGGATTTATGTACCCAGATCTCTGTTACTCGGCTTGCACTGGTGTGCCATGTGTATGCGTATATGTGGCATGTGAATGGATGCTGGTGTGTGTCTAGGTGTGGGTGTCAGGGTATGTTGTTGATTGCTTGCACGTGGGTAGGTGTGTGTGTACACACAGGTGAGCTCCTCTTTTAAGGGAAGACTTTCAGAAATGTCACTGAGATAAAACAGAAGTAGGCTGTTACTGGTCCCCCTGAGAACAATGGTTAGTGGAAGGAAAAGGGCTCTTCTTGTGAAAGGGAGCTTCCCTAACCTGGCTGGGGACAGGGATGCAGCTCTTCCTCCCCTCCTGGGTGATTCACTGGGTTGTGCTTCTACAAACCTGGTGGCTCCTTCTGGTTTTACTCGGGGCTGAGATGGCCATTTTCTTTAGGAGAAAATCATGTCTCCGTGTTTAAGATTTTTTTTTTTTTTTTTTTTTTTTTTCTGAATCTGGTTGGTCCAGCCCATGATGCTGGTACATTCATTTCAGGAGCGGATGGGGAGTGTGAGGGCCCCTGACGTGCGGCGAGCTAGACCGCCTCCATTTAGGGAAAGGCAGTGCTGCTTCCCGTGATAAAATCAGTGTTTCCCATAACCTGTGGAGTGTTGGCCCCAGCTGCTGGGGCCTGAGGGAGCGCGCATGTTCACCTCAGCAGCTCAGCCCCGCTCTCTCTGAACGTGCCCACAGAGGAGGAGAACCACATGGGATGGTTCTGTGTGGACGACGATGGCAATCTAGCCAAGAAGGAGACACACCCTCTCCTGGTGGGACACATGCCTGTGATGGTGGCCAAGCAGCCGGAGTTCAAGGTGAGGGCCCCCGGCTGGGGAACACTGGTGTAGAACGCCGTTACTATCAGCTGAGAGGAAATGTGTTGGCAGTGTCGGAGATGGCTGTTGCTGGGAGCCCACTGAGGAGGCTCAGCCGCTGTCCCTGTGGCCTGCTGCTGGCAAAGGTTACTGTGGGCCACAGGCCCACGGTGCTCCAGCATCTGCCTCCTCTGTTGTGCCCCAGCTTGACCAACAGCCCCTTTCTGTAGAGCATCAGGTCTCCGAGGTGCTTGTCTGCTAAAGTGCCAGGAGTGTTGCCATCTCAGGAGTCCCAAGGCCTAAAGCCCTTGCCAGGGCACTGTACCTCTCTCCAAGAAATAACTTGACACTGTTATCTCATCCTGGCCCCTTGCCCACTTCACGGGGACTGCCTTGTCCCTGGCTCTAGTGAACACACCTCTGGACGCCTCAGAATTCTTTTCCTGTGGAACCACACAGCTCATGTGTCAGGAAGGGCCAGCAGGCACACCATGAGGTGTCTTGCCCCTCGCTTAGTCCTCCTGGCTGCTTTGCCATGCCCAGCTGGCATTTGACATGGTTGAGGGGCTCTAAAGACAAAACCATGAAAGACGAAATCTCCTTGGGAATTCCTGTCTGAAAAAAATGAACTTGTGAGACTCGCACAGTTGGCTGTTTTCATCCCTGGGCTTGGGCCCATGGTTCAGCCAACCAAGGGTGGAAAACACTTTGAACCCACAGCGTTGTGTCCCGTTGTAGATCGAATGTGCAGCTTATAACCCCGAGCCTTACCTAAGCAACGACAGTCAGCCGGCTTCACCCTCCGCAGCACGTGGCTTCCTGTGGGTAAGGTCCTTGGCTTTTCTCTCGGGTTGGCAGAGAGCTGTGAGGTGGCTGAGAGGAGTTCACGAGAATACCAGCTTAGGCCTCCAAACAGAGCCCTTCCTTGAGGTGTGGACTTAGTTAAAATGTTGGCTTCTGCTCTTCCTCATCTAAGACTTTTACAGTTGAGTCAAGACCAAGACAGCGGACTTAAGTGCTGTGAGGATAGCTTTGGCATGCCATCCACTCTAGAGTCTCACTGTGTTGACTTTCCTCCCCTTCCAAAGCACCGTTGTCTTGTTACACTGCTGTCTTGGTGGAAATGAATTTGTTAAGCACGAAGTCCAGGCTCTCCATAACACTCAGGTGCAGCAGAGCTTTCTGGTTCTTGTGAGCTAAAGGAGATTCTCTGGGCTTGGGTCCCTCGCCTCCTGCCCCGCCCCCCACCCCTTTTCAGTACACGTGCTCAGCCTACACCTCTGTTGCAGCCAGAGCTGCTGCTCAGCTCTTCCTAATAGTGTTTAGAATGGAACAGCATGGCCGCTGGTGTTTCAGCGGCCCTACCTAGAGACCGGCAGGGACACTACCCCTCCTGGGTTGTAGGTTCCTTCCGCACAGAATTGTGCTGCTGCCACTTGATTCACTTGAGCACAAACGCATGCACGCATGCAGGCATGCACACACCCATGACCGAGGACCTGCTGACTGGGCCTCCTTTCAACAGGGTCAGAACATAGTGTGGAATACATGCGGGAGAGGCAGGGAGGTGTGACAACATGCTCCAGGTGGGAGGAGCAAAGATCCACCTGTACTGGGAGCCAACCCGCTGTCTGTCGGCAGGGGTCAGGGGTCAGCTTCGGGCTCCCTCCAGACTGTTACCTGGCTCTGAGGATGAGACTCATTGCAGAAATCCTGGTCTGCCCGACAGCACAGTGTGCTCCCTGGGGTGACCTACACTGTGTACTTTTCCGCTTTTGCCTCTTGAAAGGCTTGTTTTCACTAAGGCTGAGCGTGATTGCACCTTCCTACCAACTTACTTAACACTTGCACTAATGTGTTCTTGATACTTTATGAGTATGTGAATTGGCCCTTGTGGTTGTGTAAGGAGTGAGTGTCTGGTGTGTATTAGGTTATATTCCTGTTATTGAAACTCTTAAACAAACAAACAAGTTAAACATGTTGGAAAGGCATCCTTTTTCCTCACTTGGTTTTTTCTGAGTGAGTCACACTTGGGTCAAGTTTCTGTACAGCCAGGCTCATGCCTGATCAGAAGTCGTAATCATCCTGGAAGCCTGCCTCAACTCACATTCTCCCTCCCAACCTCTGTCTCAGATCGGAAGTTGTAGCAACCAGATGGGTCAGGTGGCCATCGTCTCCTTCCAAAGTTCCAACCCCAAAGTCATTGAGTGCTTCAACGTGGAGTCACGCATCCTGTGTATGGTATACATTCCAGCTGAGGAGCTGAAGCCCCAGGAGCCCTGTGAAGCCGGGGATCCAGAGGCCACAGCCTCGAGAGCATCCCATGTGCCCACCATCTGCCTGGGCACAGAGGAGGGAAGGTAGAGAACATTCCCTGTTTTAGGGGTGGCCTCCAGTGTGGGGCAATGTAAACCAAATGTAAGATGCAAGGGGGAAAATTCCTGGCCACTGTGTGCTAAAGTTACCATCACCACCTCCATGGTAGTTACTGTTAAGAGATAAGATAGTTTTTTAAAGCAGAAAGCTCCCCACAGTTTGCCCCCAGTTTTTGTTGATTCTTCTTAAAAATACACCACTTCTTCCATTTTGGAATTAAAAAAAAAAAACCAATATTTTCTATTATAATCATATGGAACTTTGACACCATTGAATGGAAAAGTTAAACTAACATCACAAAATATATAGGAAGAAAATAAATTATGACTCAGAATTTCTCTTTAAGCTGTAAGAGTAAAATCAGAATGTGGGTGCTTTTTAAATGTGGCCAAGTGTGTGTTAAGATCGGGGAAGGAAAGTCAGGGGGATGAAGAGGACACGTGCCATCTGCTGATGCTGACTGGCACCCTGTCCTCTCACGGGGCACACATGGTCATGTGTGTTTGTTTCACAGCATTTCCATTTACAAGAGCAGTCAGGGCTGCAAGAAGGTGAGGCTGCAGCACTTCTACACGCCAGACAAGTCCACAGTCATGAGCTTGGCCTGCTCCCCGCAAGGCCTGTATGCTGGCCTAGTCAACGGGTCCGTCGCCAGCTACACCAAGGCTCCAGGTAACTACCCACACTCAGCCCCGACCCTCGGCTAGGAGTCAGTTTCACCTCCCACAGTGCCTGTCAGTCCTGGTTCCAAACCTGTGTAATCTGCTCCTTTTGGAAAAGGCTCTGATGGACACATGGGAAGTTCTTCTAAAGTTGGTTTCCAGGGTCTTTCTGCACCTACTGTCCTCAAAGCCCCACCCTAGTGTTCTTGGCACTGTAGACGCTCCTATGCTCTCCTGAGCCTTCTTCCATTGCTCAGGTCCACATTACATGGGGGTGTGAGAACCATTCAGGGCTGACTTCTCCTTCTGCAATCTTTCCACAAGGCATGTGATATTTGGCCTCATCTGTCCTCACAGAGTCACAAATGCTGAGCCATTCCTTCTCACCTCAGAAGCCCTCAGCCCCTGTGTGTGACCCTCAGCCTCTAGCCCTCCTACAGCATGGCAGTATTTAATTAGCCGCCCTGATTGGCTCTGGTGAAGATGGAGAGAGGCCTGCCCAGGTCACACGCTCTCCTCTGTAGACCCTCCTGCCTGTCCAGCTTTCTGGTTTCTCTGTGGTTCTCCCAGCAGATGAGAGGCTAAAGCAGCCCCCACATTGTTCTCAGACTCTGGGAACCTGCCCTGTGTGGATGGGATACTATTGCCTTCAGTAGCTTTTCTCATGTACTTCAGCTGCTGCTTCATGGGAAAGCTTTTCCAGGGACTGTCCTTGCTGCTGCATGGCTGGTGGCCAGGTTTCCTCCCCAGCCCCTCATTGAAACTCATAGTACAGACGTGCTAAGCTGAAGCCCAGAGGCTGACCCTTCCACGCCAGGCATGCTCACCAGATGCCCAGGCCTACCCTATCGCCGTGCTACACACCTGACCCCATAGCTCCCCAGGAGCTGGCCTGAGGCCAGCTGTACTCACACCCAAGGCCAACCCACCCGACCCTCTGCATTACCTAAGGAGTCTCGGTGCTGCCAAATTAGATGTGGGGTTTCGAGACCCACTGCTGTTCTCTATGCCTACCTGTGTTGTTGTTGTTGTTTGAGTATTTGTTAATGAGCTTTCAAAATGGATGGTGAGCTCTTACCCACCCTGTGGAGCATGGTCAAGGGTGAACCCTATCTGGAGAGTTCTGGACTTCCGACCACTGCTGCTGAGCCTTGCTTCCAACACAGCACCTGTGTTCTCCAGACCTCGCTTTGGCAGAGACCACATTGCATGGGAATATTGATTACTTGAAAGTTGGAAGGAAAGCCGTTTCAGGGGGGTGTAACAGGGTCTTTGAAGTTGATTTCAGAAAGTGACGTCCACTTTTCCATGACTTTGAGTGCATGTGAACTTCTGAATAATTCTTGGTGCAGTTTGGCTAAGTTAGATTAAATTTATATTATCAAAGCTTACATAATGACTTACTTAGAACATAATCCCTTTTTACTTTGTGTTACTTTATTATCTTTAATGTCTTAGACACTGAATTACATGTAGAGCAAAAGCTTGGTCATTGAGCCATGTCCCCAGCCCTTTTTCCATTCAGAACTGTTGGTTCCTTCTCTCCTCCATCTGATTTTAGTATTGTCTTGGTTTCACATGCACAGTGTGAATTTGTATAATCTGGGTGGGAGGGTTGCCTAATTTTCTGGCTGCCACTATATTATTTTATGTTCCCCTATCCATGATGCCCTTTCTTTTAGGTTTCCAGGTGATTATCTTTGATCTTTTCCCTTGGCCATCTGGTTTTCTTCATTCTTTGTGTGTTAATAGCTTGAAGGATTAATCCTCATTCCTGTACACTTTGGCCAGCCCAGCCCTGTGCTGTATTGTACAGTTTGCATCCTGGTACACCATGAGATGTCTTTGTAGTTCCACCATCTCTGCAGCCTTCCTGATGTGTTTTAACCTCCTTGAGGGTAGGCCTGGGCGGCAGAGCGTAAGGTGCGCTGGGTCCACACATGGCCTGTTGTCCTTCCGCTCTTAGTGACAGAGGATGTGGTTGCTTGGAGACCATGACCTTCCCAGCCAGAGGGGGCAGTTGCTTTGCAGTGGGGCTTGGAAACCTGAGACTTGATGGGAAACTTTCAGGTTGTTAAGACATGGGGTCATTCATATCGTTAGCTTGCGTATGAAGTCTGGCCGTGGTGCAGCCAACCTACCTGGCAGCTCTGGCCTCAGGCACAATCCCAGGAAGAAGCTGTCCTGAGAGGCAGTCCCGTTGGCCCAGATTCACACACTTTCAGCAGTGAGGTTGCACATGGCCCTCCCAGGGAGACAAGAAAACAGTGTCTAAGGAAAAGAGAGCTTTCTTAGGCGGCCAGAAGACAGAGGCCAATTGTTGGCAGTTGAGCCGTAACCAAAGTAACAAGTCTAAAGTGGGTTATCCCACCTTTGATCTTGGAGTTCCTGTTTCAAAGGAGCCGTAGCACCACTCAGCTGCACCACTCTTCTGGCAGCCTGCGGGCAGAGCTGTCTCGTCTGCATTCTTATGCCACGCCTGCCCTCCACAGCATGTAAGCATCACAGGAAACTGGGTTCCATCACAGTCAGGGTGCCGTGCTGTGAAAGGCTGTGAGTACCACCTACGAAGGCTGTGTGTGTGAATGTTAGGGCAGGTGAGGGAAAGGTGAAGGGGTAGGGTGTGTGTGTGTGAGTGGGTGGGTATGCATGTGTGCATGCATGCATGCGTGTGTGTGTTTGCATACATGTACCCAACTGTATTTGGACCAAGTCCAACTGCTGCATGGAAGGTAGGCTGGAACATTGGGGTTCAAAACCATCCTGCCACATTGCACAGCCTAAGCAAAATTTCTGCCAAAGATGCTTTGTAACGAAAGCACACCACAAGGGTCAGAGCTTACCTAATCACCTCTGTTTAACAGCCCAGCTCAGGTCCTTGTTGTTGATTATTAATGTTTATTATTGATTTATCTTTTAGTAAACAATGGTTATTCCTAAACCAGCTGTATCCCCAAGTCACCACACAGAGACTAGGATTTATTTAATTAACCTAGAGCACAATGCTGGGCAACAGTTACTCCATCCTAAACCTCCAAGCCCGCATAGCTTACTCCCATTCAGATTTCCCACATTATACTTGCTTTTAGTCATATTTTAGGCCTGGTTCATCTCTCCTCATGGTTCCATGTCCTCTGCCGATCTCTCTAACTCCTCCCACTCGCTTCTTTCTCCTCCCCTCCTGACCAGAGTGTCCCATCCTATTCTCTCCATTGCTCAGCATTGGCTGGTTGTTTTATTGACAATACAGAGACCAAATGGTGGCATGCTTACACAAACTTGAGACAGGTGATGCTTAGAATAAGTTTCACAATGCAATGTCCAGATTGAAACCAGATAGTGGGGTAGAGAAATCAGCATTTGAATGAACAAGGGTAAACTATATACATTCCACAAAAACATTATACCAACAGTTCCCTTTGCTCACAGGTTTTGTACTGAAAGGCTCATGGCTTCGGGTTGGGACAGAGAAGAAGCTGAGACGTTGCTTCCTCTGAGCTAAGAGAACACGGCAGGGAAGACTCACTGATGATCTAATTGCCGCCGGAATCCCGGGGCTTAATGAACAGCTAGGGTGAAGACTGAAGACTTAAATACTTAGAAGATAGCCATATCAGTTGCATTAAAATTTGCAGTAAATCCTGCTTGTCGTCTTTACCATCACTGTCTGGAGACATGGCAGGCCATGGCACACTTAGCTGGGACCTGTGGGAAGGTGTCCCATCCTGCCTGCTGTCTACCCCGTCTTCCACATGTCACAGGGCCGGTTCCAGGGGCCTTGAGCACCCCGTGTTTGAATACGAGCATTGTAGTCACAGTTGGTACTTGAGTTGTGCTTTGCGGTGATGTGTGGTCCTGTGCCTCTGCCCCTGTGCACAGTTACCTAAGCTCAAGGGGAACTAAAACTCTTTTCTTTTAAGATGGATCCTGGAACTCAGAACCCCAGCAAGTGATCAAGTTGGGCGTCCTGCCGGTCAGAAGCCTTCTCCTGGTGGAGGGTGCACTGTGGGCAGCCTCTGGAGGGCAGGTGTTCATGGCCAACCTGGAGACTCACACCATAGAGGTGAGTGCTGTCAGGCACACTCTGCTGCCGCCCACTGTAGACGGGATGGGTCCCAGCAGCAGCCAGGCAGGCTGCAGACTGGCAGGAGCTAGTAAGCGCAGGCGTGCTGCGCAGCGTGGAGGAGGCCGTGCAGGCAGTGATGAGGTGTCACTCACTGGAGAAAGGCAGGCGCCGCATGGCACACCTGCAGCCGCTTGTCAGGTCTCCTGTCCCATGTCCCGGTCTCACATATAATCTGGATATTTTTCGTTGTGCTGTCGGCATTTTCTTGGCCGTATGTTATTCTACTTACTATACAGATTGCTCATGTCCAGTCACCCCATCTGTCTTTCACCATCTCGCACCCCACCCTTCCCTATGTAAGCTCCAGTCACATGGTGTTTTGTTTTGATTCTTTGGAGTTGGGTTTATCTAATCTGACCTGTTTGAATGACTTCGGCAATCTCCACTACTTCAGTGTCACACTGCCGTCATCACCGGCCTCAGAAAACATTTCATCTTGGGTGGGGTTTGCCAGCTCACCAGAGCAGGGCTTTGGACATTTTGCTAGGAGTTCACATGGCATGTTTTTAGACATTGGTCAGACATCTATTTCAGGACATATACTGGTGGCATGTTCTGGCCCTCAGGCAGAGAGTGGAACTGAAGCTCCAGGTGCAGAGAACTGAGGGTGGCTCTTCTGCTGGGAGTACAATCCAGGGCCTCACGCATGCTCAGCACCCACCACTTAACCATGCTCCCGCTGCAAGAGCTGCATATTAGTGTGTGTGTGTGTGTGTGTGTGTGTGTGTGTGTGTGTGTGTGTGTG